AATATCGGCGTATAAGATGCAAGCAATTCTATCGAATGGATAAATACACCAATAATTTTCTAGGCTCAACAAGGGTACTACAACCAATAAAGAAGATAATGAAAAATTAGACAATACTGGGATATTCACAAAAGATGGCTGCTGCTATTCGGCACAGCTAAGACAAAGTAACACTCCCTGACAGTAAGTGTCTGAATAATGTAAATCTATATTAAAATTGCAAAAAGAAACAAAAATCATTAATTCTTTTTAAATCGAAGACTTTTGGGATGTTTTCTTTATTAGATAATTCTAAAATATCCAACTTTCTAAGCGTTCCTTTATACCCTGATTAATTATTACTAGTATTTATTGCTAAAATCAGTTTTCAGTTAAAGTAACTTTATAATTGGTGCTGCTTTGAAAACATTTTCGAGACAACTAAAAATTATTCTAAAAACAAGTAAAAAAAAAGACGATATTATCATGGTACATATTTTTAAGCTTTAAGAGACACTGGCAGTACATAACAGTAATTTGTGGGGTGATCTATGGTCTCTGTTAAAAAAATGCTTATCGCTTATACTTAAGAATTCAATATAAGTTTTAAATAAAATACTTTGAGAAGTATTTGAGAAGAAATAAACTGAGAAGTATTCTTTACTATCATAATAAATGACACAACAACTGTAAAAATAGTTTCTTAAATAGCAAAATATACACTGAAAAAAAAAAACACAAAAATATACATTCACAAAACAAAACTAATGTGTGCATTATTTTTTATAAAGTTCATTCAACTTCATCAATGACACTTTTACGTCGTTAAAATACAACCAACTGCTTAGAAATTCCTTAAAAATATTATTTTAGAATTATTTTGACCTATATGCAATAAATTTTAAATAAAACAAAATTTATAGGAAAAATTTTGTTCTCAAAACACAATAATTTACACTGAAAAAACAATAGATCAATTCACCTTTATTTTACACAGGGGGAACAGATCCATTTTCGCAAGAACCCATCATAGATATTTTGCGTGACTCGTCTAGAAGGATGCAGACTGTCACTATATCTAGAGTATGCAAAAACTAAGTATAATAGTAAACTTTTGTTTTGATATTATGTTTAAAAACAATTATACAATGCTGTCATTTTCAACATAATGTGTTATCGATAAAATAAAATACTCTAGTGATATTAATAATTCCAGAACAAGTAACTAATAAATTTGTAAAGAGGCAATCAACCAGTACTTGGCTGGATACCATATTAACATCTCAGAAAATATATATATATCTATATATATTATATATAATATATATTACTATATAGAATAATATATATATAGAGGTCTAACAATCTGAGTGAAGACAATATAACTCTATTGGAGATCTTGTTATAAAATATATGTCCGCCAAATACCACAGGATTGGCTAAATCAACTTACACAATCAAAAAAGCCAAACGCTAATAGTACAACAATTCCGAATGATCGGTCTAAATTTAGTAAAGGACAATAACTAGAACTTGGGAGATAACTCTTAAAGACATATTCACGACAAGAATTACAACAGGATGTGAAAGACATTAGTCACACAGTTCGTTTCAGACAATAAGACAAGAGAAGCACTTTAAAGCTTAATGTCCTGTTCAATTGTTTTCCGAATGATCCTTTTCTTGAGCCCTAAAAGGCTACAACAATTAGCGAAACGTCGAGATGAACCACTCTTGAGGATAACTCACACAATGACAGGTATACAACAGATGTGAAAGAGACATTAACTCCACACAGTTCGGTTTCAGACAAGGAAGCACAAGAGAAGCACTTTATAGCTTAACTGTCCTACTTCAGAAATGCAGAGATCAGCAAAAAGATGTCTTCCTATGCTTTATATATTACCAGAAAGCGTTCGATTGTGTTAATCATTCAGAATTAGTAAGATTGCTGCAGGAACGTTCGATAGATGAGAATGACCTTAAATCATAAAGACCTTTATATGAATCAAGTGGGATCTGTGAGAGTAGGACTGTCATATTTCTCAATCGAAAAAGGTGTACGACAGGGTTGTGTTCTGTCACCCCTCATTTTTAATATTTACTCTGAAAAGATTTTCGATAGAGCCTTAAGTGACACTGGGGATGAAATCAAAATCAACGGACAGACTATTAGTAATCTTCGCTATGGTGATGATACAGTCATAATAACTGATAGCCAAGAAGCGCTACAACGACTAATAGATAGAATAAACACTGAAGGAGAACGACTGGGCTTGAAGATTAAAGGTCGATTCAAACACATCAGTCCCGGCGCCGAACCGGTCCTGTTTGGTCACAGAACTATTAATTATCTGACAGCTGGGAAACTGTTCGTCAACTGATGAATGCGAATACCGGCGGCATATTTCTATTAAAGAATATTTTGTATGACGGATTGTTCGGTTCGGCGTCGGGACTGTGACGAGACGTGACTGATGTGTTTGTTTTGAGATGACAGAAGAATAGAGCTACACTACAAGCATAGACATATAATACACTGTATCTTTTTCTAACGGGCCTTGCTTATCGGTCACGTGACCTTCCCATTGGTCATTTAGGTCACGTGGTCAAAAAATCCGACCCATTAGAACGAGGGACCCAGGGGCTGCTTTGCTTCAGTTTTCTCTGTCGCACTAGGCGAACAACGCTGTACTGCAACGCTCAGTCTATTTGTATTATATGTCTATGACTACAAGTTTGTTTTTTACAAAACCTTAATGTGCATATTTATATTTATAAATGAGTTATATAATTTTACCGATGTTAATGACAATGTTTTTGATAAAGATCAGCACTGACAAAACACACTATTATTAAAAAATATGGATTTAAAGAATGCTGTTATCTTCGTATGTTTTAATAAAAAAAAAAGAATAGATTTACTAACCAAATGCACTTTTTGCGTCTCTATCTATCTATAAAATCTATCTTGTGAATTCTTGTGATGTGTCAATTTCTTCTCCACATACCATCTCATCTTTATATATTTAATGTGACATTTATGCAAAGATTTTAATGTTCCAATCAACCACTTTGTAATAAAATGCCATAATTCTGATTTTTCTGATATGTAGGGTTTGTTTTATTTGTAATCTAGAAATATTTCCTCTCGTCAGTGTGTTTCTCTATCGTATCAATTGCTCTGTGAGTATAAGGATCTATATATAGTATAGTATAATCTTTTAACAGAGCTGTAGACCACTGAAACTGAGTACAAACATGATGCAAACAATCAGACCTCTAAATAAAACACTAAAAAAATATATGTACAGATGTGAAGATTCATTTTTACAAAGTAAATAACATTTGGTCATTTCGCTATATCATAGATTCTTCTAATACTCTATTACATTTTTTTAATAACTAAATAACGATTACTGTTTTGACTTTGATTCAAAAATAGCTTTCATATCCTTTATGCAGTACGTAGGTGATGCTTTCTCCTTTCTGAAAAAAAAAAGTAAAAAATAGTATTAATATAATAATAATATTAAGTAAAAAAAGTTATTAAAGTAGGGTAACCTAGGGTTAGTGTGACAGCGGTGTTAGTGTGACAACATTTAATAAATTATACTAATTTATATTGTGCTTTTATATTACATATGATGTTATTTTACACTTCTATTGAATTTCAACAAATTATTAAAAAAAAAATGTTTCAGTCCCTTCTGTTTTAGGTTAAAATCATAGTATTTATTTATGTATGTATTTTAATTCGAATTTGAAATTCTGATATATTAGTCCAAATTTTGGATTTCTTCAAAATCATTTCTATTTATTATTATTTTATTTTAAACATCTTATCTTATTTTAAACATTTAAACTTATTTTAAATTCCTAATTGTCTTTAACTATTATTTTTTTTAGGTGTCACAGTAACCCCACAGATTTTCACACTGTGGGGTGTCTGTAACAGCGAAACGTGGGTATAGTGTGACATGTTATACTATCACCACTTACTACAAGGCGGAAGATGGACACAAGAAAGTTTAAGCCAAGCAATAACCAACGTTTTATCAGGGCAAATGTCAGCTTACCAAGCATCTAAAGATTATCAGATTCTAAGATCTACCTTAATATTAAATACTAAAAGATGGGGTGAAAAGAAAACAAGTACATCTACAAAAAATTCCGGTAGTGGTGGAAAAAGTCCAGCAATTTCCGCAATTTATGAAGAACGACTTGTTAAATATCTAAGTGTAATGAATAAATGGGGTTTTGGACAAAGAGAGGTGAAAGATATTGTGCAAGGATTCGTTCAGAAAAACAACCTTACTGTCTCTTTTAAAAATGGTCGACCCGGGGATGATTGGTGGAGAAATTTTAAAGATCGTAATAAAATTTCTCTTAAAAAACCTGAACGTTTAGAGGGTTCCCATTCAAGACAAGCCGGAGATCCTTTTATTGTCAATCATTTTTTTGACCTGCTTGGTGAACTTATCCATGATTTAGCTGATGAAATGGTCCGGTAGTGAACGAGAATGTTCCCTTACGTATATCTTTGTGCCTGAAGCATGTGCTGGCAATAACCATGTTCATTGAGGAGGCTAAGTGTATTAGTCGAGTTCCGTTGTTGTTTGACTTCTCATGTAAACTGTGAATTCCAATGGTTGGCATGTATTCTCTCTCCTTACCTATCTTTGTATTAAAATCTCCTATAAAACCTTTACGTCATTTCTAGGACAATGCTGTATGATATTTTCCAGTTGTTCATAAAAATGTTCTTTTTCTTCATCCGGCTTCTCCTCAGTTGGTGCATGGGCATTTATTATTGAATATTTAAAGAATCTACCTCTGATTCTTAGTGTGCATAATCTTTCGTCGAGAGGTTGGACGTCTATTATACGGTGCTTTACTCTTTTATTGACTATGAATCCCGTTTCTAGTTGTCCAAAAATGTCCACTTCAAAATAGATCCCGTCTATTCTCTTATTATCTTTATTATAGGCAGTGTGTACACTTTTATTATTTCTTTTCTTGACGTTTAGAAAGCAAATGTCAAACGACGATGATTTATATTATCTTCTTAACATTAGTTCTATTTTTCTTTTCAGTCGATTCAAATTGTCCTAGGACTCCGTTATCGATAAAACGATACGACCAAGCCGATTTGCTTCAAGAGGACGAAGACAGAAGGGAAATATTGAAAGACATCAAAACGATTTTTGCCCCCGAATATCGAGTTTATACCAATGATTCAATATGCAGTACGGTTAGTTCTTTTGAAACTGTGTTACTATGTTTATAAGTATATATTTTAAAATCACCTTCTCAATAGTAATATAATTCTAAAACATTTTTTTTAGTTTTACATTTCACGTATAAAAAAGTTGCCTAATATTTGTTTTAATGTTATTGAAGCAGAGCTTCTATACTGACATTGTATTACTTTTTCTCTATAGTAAAGTGCTAAAGCGGGCGTCACGGAAGAAGCGTTATGGATCTTCTTCTTCTTAAAGTGCCCTCTCCATTACTGAAGGTTGACTATAATTACAGCAAATTGCTCTCTATCTTGAGTTGTTCTTAGTATCGAATGCGTGTCCATGTCTGTCCAGTCTCTTACATTTTTCAGCCAGGAGCATTGTCTTCTCCCTGGACTTCTTCCTTCCACTTTCCCTTCCATTATTAGTCGTAGGAAGTTGTATTTTTCTTCTCTGTAAATATGTCCTAGATAACTCGTTTTTTTGGTTTTTACAATATTACGTTACGGATAGCGCCACGAAATAGCGGTGTTCAAATCGATTCACTAATCTCCAATCAACACGTTGGAGTAATGTTACTTTTCCCTACATACAGCAATTTGTAGTCACCTAATTCTTTCGCAATGTGTCCTTTTCACGTCGTCTCTTGAACTACAATTGTACTTAAGTTGTACTCTCATGCTCTAAGCGCATCTACCAACTTAATATTCTTGCCTGTGAGACTTGCGAGATTTCAAGACCCTATCCTGATTTTCTGACCTGTAATGTTCACCCTGAAAAAGTCCTTAGCCGAAATTCAAACAGCTCTATTTACTTCAAGAGATACCATCATTTCAGAATAATTTTTGTTGTTAGGTGGAAACGAAAGGTGGCACTATGATGACGGAATCAATGTATATTGTCAATCCAAATGTTCACAGCTGACAGCCGCCAGGTTTGCAAAAGATACGTGGTCAATGGGCATGACTTAAAGGGTTGAGTACTAGTGGTTACCGCTGCTAAACACAGATTGAATAATTTTTCTTAATGTGCCTGCTGGTTTCTCACCAAATCCGTTCTGTATAATTGGTTGCCTATGTACCTTACAATTGTATTCCAGTAGCGGTTTATACATATTCCGGGAAAAAGTTATTATTGGTCATATTTACATGAATGGTACATTGACAGTGACATATACGGTGTCTTGCTTTGTGTATTTATTTATTTTGAGTGGTTTTTCCTACAAAAAGTGTCTCAAAAATGGCAGGTGGGTAGTATATTGTTTAGAAAATGTAATAATAACATAAAAACAATAAAAAGTGTATCTGATGTGACTTTTACCGGCGCGTTTTATTGCTGGTTTTGGTTGGTAACCACTAGGCAATTAGTTATTTTATTTTTCTAGAATCAAAGACACATTGGTCCGTAAAAGACTTAGAAAAATATGAATTCACCCCACTTTGAGGAATTAGATGAAATACCAAGTGATGTTGAATCAGTGACTTCAGATTTGGAGAATGCGATGAACGATGAGCTGGAAGTTTTAGAAAACAGTAATCCATACATCAACAGTTGATCACCATCAAGAGAAGAAAGCTGGAATATCTTGGTCATGTGATGAGAGGGAAAAAGTACCGATTGCTCCAGTTAATTATCCAAGGAAAGATTCAGGGCAAACGAAGCGTGGGAGACGTATATATTGACTGCGCAACTTAAGAGACTGGTTCCAGTGGACATCTAACCAATTATTTAAAGCAACAGCTGCAAAGATAACGAATAGCAATGATGATTGCCAAACTCCGTAGCGGAGAGAGCACTTGAAGAAGAATCTAGACACAAGAAATAACAAAGATGGGGAAAGTGATGACGACTTGCCTCTGACTCAAAGTAGGACTCGAGAAAGAGATCATAAAATTGACATTTGACGTTTCACTGTGATATCCAATGAAGCATCTAGTGACAGCAGAGTGTTTAGGATTTTTCATTTCGTAGAGGGTAGTTTCAGCTTTTTTTAAAAAATATTCTAAAGATATAATAAATAAAACTCATATACTTAGAGGTCTGCGGAGTTATGTAGTTGCCTATTGTATACTTAGTCGGTAGTTATGATTATTTCCGCTTTTACATTAAATATACTGTCAGTATTTTTGTCTAGGTTACAAAAAGGAAGCGAACCAGCAATTATTGCAGAGACGATCTTTTTAAAGAGTACGATCCACGAAGAGACTTCTTCTCTAAAAGTTCTCGAAAGGGATTCTGCGAGGAAAATTATTTATATAGATCTCGGTCCAAGAAACAACTACAGGAAGATGACGATATGTATAGTGAATTATCTTCTAACTATACTTTATTGCATAGAGAAGATCCCAACGAGGAGAACTTTTATTTAAGCAAAAATAATATTGCCGTTGATTCTATACATAATTTAGTAACAGGCGAGTTATTGAATGTGAAAAATGCAACTATACAAACTGAGACCAAAGAAAACAAACATTTGAAAGAAGATAGTGATGTTAACGAAGAAGAAATAAGGAATGAGTAAGTAAGAGTTCATGTATTTGTACAATATATTACCGTAGGCTAAGACTAGACTAGAATAACTATAATCTTGCAATATGTATGTTTTTAGAATATGGCCAATATGGTACTCAAATTTAAGTACAACAGAGATAAGAGCACTACAAAGCAAAATCATGAAAAAATTCATGAACCCACAAGTTGACCCATGTGTAGATTTCTATGAATATGCCTGTGGTAACTGGAAGAATTATTACAGTATTCCTCCAGATAGGTCAACTTACGATATATTTGAAATGGTAAAGTATTTTTTTTAAGCAGGCAACTGAATATGTTTCACATAGTTCCTTTATTATTTATATTAACTTGTATCTTGCAGTTTATAATTTTTTGTTCGCTTGCTTTATTGTTTCAATCAGTGATGGCTATTCCTAAAGGGCCACACACACACAACACACACACACACACATATATATATATATATATATATATATATATATATATATATATATATATATATATTATATCCGTATTTAGGCGGCACACGCCCTTCCGGTAGGGATCTATGGAGGAGTATCACCGAACCACAAGCCCTTATCTCTTGCCGTACTGCTCCACCATAGGCCGATCAGATACCAGAATATTCTAGACCAGTGATTCTCAACCTGTGGTCCGCGAACGGTTTTCATGTGGTCCGCGAAGTGAACAGTCATAAAATCTTGGTTCTTGAGACGTAAAATTAATGCGCCGGCCTATCTTTTTAACTCAAAACGTTTCCAGACGACCAAGCGCGCCTGAACACAGGTTCATTCACCTCAATCTTCCGCGTATTTTCCCTCACGCGCCAAATAGTTAGTTGCATTATCTTCTTTAGTTTCGGCCGCTGTCGTGTACGTACAGGACACTGTGACCACTGCGTTTTTGATCGCGCCACTACTCAGTGACTCAGTGCTGACTCAACTGTCAAGTGACGAGCGTGCGTCTTTTTTGGCTTGGTGATTGTAGTTTACTAAAATGAGCAAACAGATGAAACTTTCGGGTTTTTTTAAGAAGACGGATAGTGAGAACGTTAAAGCAGGATGTTCTACTAGTAATATTGCCAGTGATAGCACAATATTAACTCAAACTGGTCCTAAAAGAAAGGCTGCTAACCGTAAGTACAATCCTGACTACATAGCATGTGGATTTACATTCATTGAAGAATTTGGTGTCCAGTTACCTCAATGTGTAATTTGTGCGGAGGTATTAAGTAATGAGGCAATGAAGCCGGCAAAATTAACTAGACACTTTGAAACAAAGCATAAAAATTTTGCCGGAAAACATGTAGATTTCTTTAAGAGGAAGGAGACGGAACTAAAATCGTCAAAAAATATCCTTAAGTCATACTCAACTTATGATAAAGCTACTTTGAAGGCGTCATATCAACTTTCACTTAGAATCGCAAAAACCAAAAAACCCTTTACTGTTGGTGAGGAATTAGTTTTACCATGTATCGTAGATGCAACTAAAGCAATTTTAGGTGATAAATACGCTAAACAAATGCAAAATATTCCTCTTTCCAATGACACCGTTAGTAGGAGAATTGAAGAAATGGCATCAGATGTTGAAACCCAACTTCTAAAGAAAATTCATTCCTCAAAGATTTTTGCTGTACAACTTGATGAATCTACAGATATTACCAATAAAGCTATTCTTCTTGTTTATATACGATTCATAGATAAAGACAACAAAAAATTATCTGAGGAGTTCCTGACCTCGATTGAGTTGCAAGGTAACACAACCGGAAAAGACATTTTTAAAGCCATTGACGGATATTTCACAATTAAAAATCTTTCTTGGAAAGACTGTGTAGGACTTTGCTCTGATGGTGCCGCGCCAATGACAGGTCACAAAACAGGCTTGCCAAGTTTTGTAAGGAAAGAAGGAAACCGTGATATTGTTTTAACACACTGTATTATTCATCGCGAAATGCTTGCTGCCAAAAGATTAAGTCCCGACCTAAACAAGGTTTTGACTACTGTGGTAAAGGCCGTGAACTTTATAAAAAGTAATGCTCTTAGTTCGAGATTGTTTGCTTTGTTATGCGAGGACATGGGATCCATCCATTCCAATCTCCTTCTACATACCGAAGTTAGGTGGCTGTCCAGGGGCCGGGTTTTAGCCAGATTTTATGAACTTCGAGAAGAAGTATGTATGTATCTTGATGAAAAAAAACCTGATTTAGCGAAAACACTGCGTGACGGAGAATTTATGGCCCAGTTAGCTTTTTTAGCAGATATTTTTGAACAGCTCAACATATTGAATCTAGGCCTGCAGGGACCATCTAAAACCGCATTTGACCTTTGGAAAAAAATTGATTCATTTAAGAAAAATTGTTGCTATGGGAGTCCGAAGCTGGAAAAGGATCGTTTGAAATGTTCAACTTGTTTTCAGATTTTATCTCTGAAAATAAAGGCTTAAATGAGGATGTTTTACATTCACTGGTTAAGTCCTACATTAAGTCGCTTCAAGATTACTTTGAAAAGTACTTCCCTGCTGATACAGATGTGAGGAAAAATAATCTGTGGGTGATTGATCCCTTTTTAGCTACCCACAATAATAATCTGTCTATTCAGGAAAATGAACAGCTTATTGAAATTTCATCCGATGATCATTTAAAAGTGATAAAATCTCACTGCGAAAATGTTGCAGATTTTTGGATAGGATTACTTGATGAAAGTCCACTGCTAAGTAAAAAAGCTTTGGAACTTCTTCCTTTTCATTCCACTTATCTCTGTGAGGCATCATTCTCAACATTATATGTCATTAAGAATAAACACAGAAATAGGTTGCTAAATTTAAATGCTCCTATGAGACTGGCGTTAACTTCTTTCGATCCAAATATTGAGAAACTTTCAAGTGAGAAGTAAGACCAAGGGAGTCATTAACGTCTTAATTTGGCGCTATCTATGACTTTTTATTTTGTTTTTTATATACCTTTTGTCTTTCACTATGTATTTTCTTTTTTTATTTTGTAAATAATAAATTCATTAGTAAAATTTCAGTGTTCATCTCATTTTACCTATTATTAGGAAATATTAATAATAATATCTAAGTGGTCCGCCAAGAGTTCTGAAAGGTACAAGTGGTCCTCAGTGATGAAAAGGTTGAGAACCACTGTTCTAGACTAAGCCGCAGATTCATTTAGAATTTTAAACTGCTGCGTTAGCCTTTTTGTTTTCTGTACACCGAGCTGGGAATTGAACTGACATCTCTCGCATTGAAGCGAAGAGAGAAGCCAGCCGCCCAGCCCGCTTGGCTATCCGATCGACTTTACTTTACTATACTTTTTTAAATATCAATGCATTATGCAGATACATTATTTATCATAACGTAATTTAATCTCCTCGAAAAAACAAATAATTCAAGTGAGTTGACTACCCGAGCCCATTTCAGTATGGCTCGAGATTTGACTTCAAACGCATAGGAAAAGGTTAGACGCGGTCAACTTACGGACGGTGTATTGATAAGAAACATATAATGTTTCGAAAAGAGACAAACTTCGACCCGAGTGTTTTATAATATGACTGCTATAGATAAATTCACATTCAGATGGCAGCGTTACAGAGATAGGCCTGTACTTTCTATATGCCAGAAATAACTACATTGTTGTCAGTTTTTAATCGTACCTACAATCGTACGTTATGGGCCGGCTCCTATAAAAGAATTATAATTTCGGAAATATTTATGAATGTGAAACGGAAAAATACTACATTTTTTTAATTATATAATTTTTCTGTTGGTAATTATAAATTCAGGTAAATACTTGAGAGTCATTAAAAGAATTTTCAGTTGATACCAGACGTTTGTGTCGTGTCAGTGTCAAAATGGCCCCGAGTGTAATAAAATTCAAAAACGGTAATTTGTTAAATAGTGAATGCAAAAAAATAGTGTTAAATGTTTTTAACTATTTATCAAACAGTAATAATGATAAAAGTGTATCAACAATAGTGCGGGAAGTTTCTGCTATGACTGGAGTTTCTGAGCGAACGATATTCCGATATAGAAGTGAAAGTAAAAATGGTCCACTCGTAACTCCTATAAGAAAAAAAAGAACCGGTTATTTGAATAGTCGTCAGAATAGATATGATGAAGCAACTCGGTCTAGAATAAGACAAGTAGTGCACGGTTCTTTCCTCCAACCCTTGACGTAGTACTAGAAAAAAATAAGCAAATGGAGCATCTTCCGAATTTTTCCAAGAGTACGTTGAGAAGACTATTGCACGACATGGGTTTTATATATGGCAAACAAGGTAGAAATTCAATATTAATAGAAAAACAAGAAATAGTCGCTTGGAGGCGTCACTATCTCCGGGAAATAAAGAAACTGAGGAACGAAGGAGCCAATATCATTTATATGGACGAATCATGGGTTAATACTAGAATAACCAATGGGCAAGTATGGCAAGATACAACAATAAAAAATAGCCGACAGGCTTTCGTAAATGGACTTACCACAGGTTTAAAAACTCCGACCGGAAAAGGACCAAGATTTGTTTTAGTCCATGCAGGAAACAAAGACGGATTTGTTGAGGTGACATCACTTTTTTGCCAAAAAGGTGCTGAAGATTACCATGAAGAGATGGACGGAGATCTATTTGAAAACTGGTTTGAAGAGATGTTAATACCGAATCTCCCAAAAAATAAAAAGAATGTCATTATCTTGGACAATGCATCTTATCACTCTAGGAAATTAAATTTTCCCAAACAATATTGGGTGAAACGTCAAATTAAGGAGTGGCTCTATGAAAAGGACATTTATTTTGAAGAAGATTACTTAAAAAATGAACTTCTGGAAACTGCTAATGTATTTAAAAATATTTATGACAAATACAAAATTGATTGTATTGGTGAAAAATACAGGAATCACAGTGACGAACAATGCCGCGTAGATGTACATATCTTAAGACTTCCGCCTTATCACTGTGAACTGAACCCAATAGAAATGGTGTGGAGTGAAGTGAAACGGTACGTATCCTCTAAGAATTCAAGTTTCAAACAAAACGACGTTAAAACATTGATTTATGAAGGTTATGATAAAGTACAGAACAATGGACAGTGGAAAAATTACGTCAACCATGTTATAAAATTGGAGAATAATTTTTGGACAGTAGACAACATTCAAGATGACATTGAACCTATTAGAATTTCATTAAACGATGACTCTGAAGATGAACTAGATTATGAAAATAAAGATGATTGAAAATTGTTTTTCGGGGGTATTCTTTTCTCAGTAAAGGTAATAAAATATTTAGTTGATCTGGTTGAAATGTAGCACACAGTGCACAATTGAGGCCCCTAGAACACAAGGGGTGTAAGTGCCAAAAACAAAGTTTTGAAAAATCTTTGTTCAAAGTTCGATATAAATTTAAAAACCTAGGTAGCACTTTTTCAGTTTTCAGCATGTTTTCAATGACATGTAATTTTTGATGGTGTTATTGTTGTTAATGTAGAAAGTTTGAAGCCAAAAGTACGTGCCTGTTGTTAGATATCAATTGCTAAGTGATAAGCAACTGCACTTACACCCTTGTGTTCTAGGGGCCTCAATTAGGGGTTTTTTGCAATTATCTCAGTCATTTGTTTATGTATTTTAATTTACAAACTAAAAAATTAAACAAACTTTTTAAGATCTGCAACATTTATTTAAAACATTTTTCCCTAAAATGCACGAGGAACAAAATAGGCAAAAAAAATGATATTTTCCAAACTTCATCTTTCTTTAAAAAATAAACAAAGCAAAATTGGCTGTAATTCTTCAAGGAATTATCATCAGTTATCCCTTATCTACCGTTTAGAACATTAAAAAACCTGTAGAATATTTTTCATATTTTTTTCCGTATTAACTGCGGTATTATGTATAAAAGCATTTTTGGAATTATTACCATTTATTTTATTCACGAATTTTCTATTAACAACTTTAGCTTACCTAAACATATCTTAGTTTACCGTGAGTTTGGCCCTGCTTATTTTACAAAAGTAGCAAAACTTACAATGGCAGTAGAATTGGCAACGCTGTTATCCTATATCCGTACACTGCCATCTGAACGTGACTTTATCTATAGTGTATTAGAATGGTTTTCGCTTATCTATAACGTTATAGTTACGTTTAAAGTAACTTTTCTCAGAATTTAGTGCCTAGAATATTGAAACTTTATTATAGTTTAAAACTAAAATCCTTTTTTTTTCAATATTTAGGTACGAGAAAACCTCGATCAAGCCCTGAAGATGCTGCTAACAGAAAAGGCTGAAAAATCATCAAAAAATCCGTATTTTCTAACAAAAAGTTTCATAGAAAAAGACTTCTTACCTCATCAACCAACAGACGCAATCGTTAAAGTTAGATTATTTTATCAGTCGTGTATGAACGAAAATATTCTGAAGAAAAGAGGGGACGAGCCTTTAAAGAAGATTTTAAAAGAACTAGGAGGTTGGCCAATATTGGAAACAAAGTGGACAAAAAATGATTTTAATATAATATGGTTGTTGGCAACTTTAAGGATGTTGAATAATGATATATTGATAGCCCAATGGGTCGGGCCTGATATGAGGAACTCGAAGGAATATATTGTGCACATTGACCAGACTACTCTAGGACTGCCATCCAGGTAATTTATGTTCTCACCGACTCATTCTGTATGACTTTTTTTGTCTGACGGTTTGCTACATGTAAAAATTATTTGTTAATTTATAGAGAATACTATTTGGAAGAAACCAACATAAAATACATCCAGGCATATCGGATCTTCATCCTGACAGTAGCTGCTCTGATGGGTGCTAACCCCAAAACAACTTCAAAAGACGTCGACGACATCATACAATTCGAAATGTCGTTGGCTAAAATCATGGCATCTCCAGAAGAACGCAGAAATATCTCCGAAATCTATTTAAGAACTGACATCGCATCTTTGACGATGTATTTTCCGCAGTTTGATTGGAAGACTTACTTCGATTTGGTTCTAGGAAGTGATATTGATCTGATGACTCCAGTGGCATGCTATTGCGCGAAGTATTTAATGGAACTTATCTATTTGTTGAGCAACACTGAACCAAGGGTATTGCAGAACTATGTTTTGTGGAGATTTGTGAGACACAGAACTAACAATTTGGATCAGAGGTACTATTTTATATAAATACTTTCACACACATCATCGTCATACTCCTTATATTTTCGATTTTCTAACAGCTTTTCTAACAATATTTCGTCAAGTCTGTCATACTTTGTGTAGAGGTTATAATTAAATATTATTAGAATTTTATGTTGACTAATAATACAAAAACAAAATCACTTAACTAAACTGTATTGTTAAAGAAAACACATGTAAAATACTTATACAGCACGTAAATCTTTCAGCAGGATATAGGTAATATTCTTCTTCTTAGTCGTTAACCTGATGCAGGTATCGTAATATCATGAAGCTGTTAGGTAATTTTTCCAATGTTCCTCCACGTTTTTCTATCTTCTGCCAATCTAGCACATTCTGACAATGGAGCGCCAATGGTAGCAACAATATGGTCCGTGTATCGTGTAGGAGATCTACCTCTACTTCTTTTGCCTTCTACTTTTCCCTGGATGGTAAGTTTTTCAAGACCATTTCTTCGAAGCACATGTCCAAAATAGCTTATTATCTGTTCTGTTATTTGTGTTCTTAGTCTTTTCTTTATGTTTAGCTGGACCAGTATGGATTCATTTGTTCTTCGGGCCACCCATGGTATTCTCAGCATTCGTCTCCAGCAGTACATCTCAAATACATCTATGTTCTTTTTGTCTTTCTCAGTAAGGGTCCAGCATTCCGATGCATAAGTAAAAACTGGAAAAACTAGACTTCTTACTAGTCTCATTTTTGTATCGGTAGTAATTTCATGGCTTTTCCAAATTTTTGTTAATTTTGCCATAGCGCTTTTTGCGATTGCTGACCGCCGCTTTATTTCTTCAGTACAGCCTCCTTTGTTGGTTATTAATGAGCCCAGATACACAAATTTATCTACAACAGCGATATTGTTTATACTAACCAGATGATTTTGATTGTTGTTAGCTCTGTCAATTATCATGATTCTCGTTTTATCCCTGTTTAGTTTAAGGCCCATCGTTAAGCTTACGTCTTCTATCCGTTGTAGCAGGTGAATCAATTCAGTTTCAGAACTAGCGAGGATAGTAGTATCATCTGCATATCTCAAGTTGCAAATCTTCTTCCCGTTAATGGTGATGCCACCGTTCCAGTCCTCAGTAGCTTTCCGCATTATCCATTCACCATAGATGTTAAATAAAATTGGGCTTAGTATGCAGCCTTGTCTCACGCCCTTTGTGACCCTGAAACTGTCAGTTAGTTCCCCATTTATTCTAACTCTGGCATAATTGTTATTGTACAGGCTTTTAATTAGCAGTATCAGATGAATAGGGACTCCCATTTCAGACAAAACCTGCCACATTTTTACTCCAGTTGAACAAATCGAAAGCTTTACTATAATCTATGAAGCACAAATATGTTGAATTCTATGGATTTTTCTACAATCTGCCGTACGTTTAAAATTTGTTCTCTAGTACCACGTCCTGGGACGAAACCTGCTTGTTCCTCCGCAATGTTAGGTAGTAAAAAGGGCTTTATCCTCTCGAGAATTATGTGTAAGAGTATCTTACTGCAATGCGCAATTAGAGCAATTGTGCGATAGTTGCTACATAAATCTTTCGCTCCCTTTTTATGTATGGGAATATATAGTGATTGTGTCCAGTCCTCAGGCCATTTACCTGTCTCCCACACTCTTTGACAAATTTGATGTATTATATCCACTCCAACGTCATCTAGGGCTCAAATCATTTCAATAGGTATGTTATCTGGACCGGCAGCTTTTTGACTTTTTTGCCTCATAATTGCTGCTTCAACTTCACTTTTGAGTACGTCAGGTTCCGTCGCAAAACTGGCATCTTCTTGTTGTGATAGGGCGTCTATGCTTTCCTCCATCATCAGTCGTCCACAGTATTCTTTCCATCTGTGTAAAATAGGTAATATACACTGAGATAAATGTGGCAACAGAGATTTCTCGAGTCTATGCCAATATCCCACATACTAATTGATATCCTACAATGCACTTGATAACTCGATAATCGGCACCTTTAAAATCTTTTAGCTGCACGCTTTTATTTTTAATTGAAACTGTTAAGCAAAGAGTATTATTTTAAAATGTTTATTTACACTTCTCCAGAAAAGGTTCAAATAATTAAATGGTATTTTCTAGGCAATTCTTTCTCAGAATGTGAAGAACTATTTGCAAATACTTTAGAAAATAGACCCATACCTTGTAGACAAACAATTGTAAATAGTTTTGAGACACATTATTGTTTAAGCGATTGTAAAAATGTAACAAAAGAAAAGAGATGTTCCCGGAAAGACAGAAGGAAATCGAAAGGAGATATAAAGTTTTAAAAAAATATGGCTTAAGAGTTTCAAATATTGGAAAACTCAGAAGTTATTTCCTGGAGATCGATTTCGTAGAATGGAGTTCTGTGAAGCTGCAATGAATGCATCTCCCGAATATGGTAATTTTATAAAAAATATCATTTTCATCGATGAATCGTCATTTTTAGTACGGGGTAATCACACTCCTTCCAGAACGAGGATTTGGTCTCAGAAAAATGAACATCGAAGTGTAGTATATCGGACCCAATGCCCTCAAAAACTTAACGTGGGGACAGGCATTTTAGATGCCCAATGTAATTTGTCCCTTTTTCATTGAGGGAGTTCTGAATTCAGCTAAATATCTTGCTCTTTTACAGGATAACATTATTCTAGCTATTCAGAATCTTCCAGATGTATGTTTAGAAGATGCCTGGTACCAACAGGATGGCTGTTCCGTTCATAACGTGCCTATCGTGAGAAATTATTTATGCACAATTTTTCAGAATCGCATTATGAGCCGAATAAGCCAAATTAAATGGCCTGCAAGAACTTCCGATTTATCTCCCATAAATTTCTTTTTCTGGGGACAAAATAAGAAATTCTTGTGCTACGATTACGCCACAGTTAAGTAGCTTGCAAACATAAAAGAATCATTTTATGATAAACTAGGTTATTTTCTTGCAAAAGAAGGTGGTATATTTGAACCTTTTTTAGTTTACTTGTTATTTTGTACAATAGAATGTATTACTTGTTTCTCAGTTTCTTTAAGTCAAGCCAAGTGTATTTGTGTTTAACTAGTTTTAGAATAATACCTTTTCGTTTTTTGGTATGCATAGCCCATAATCAAATTTTTCAAAGGTTTTTAACTGTATTGCAATAACTTTTAAATTATTTACGTTTATTTACGTAGCAAGTTAACTTCTTCGATGCACATCTAATAGAATCCTAATTTATACTGAAAGTTGAAACGTCTGCTGCCTTGATGACAGCAGTGAGCTCGAGAAAGCGCAGTTGCCACGCTTATCTCAATGTATATTACCTATGTCCAGCTAAACGATTTACGTACTGTACAACGAGTAACTACTTGCCGCCCCTCTAGAGGGGTGTAGAACGAAGCTCGTGTATACGAGATTACTTGAAGTTTTAACATAGACCACCCTGGTTAATTTACTCTTTAGATGTGGAAATGAAAGAAGTGTTTTATAATGAGAGGTCATTATTTTAGGTATTTTGAAGCCTTTGCAAGGAATGGGGTGTGATCTATCGCTATATCTATTATAAAGAATATTTCTACTGTACTAGCGAACGATTGTAACCAAGCAAATCATCTACCCAATCGACTCTGTTAGTTCCTTATCGCATATCACTTGACCACATCCAACTGCAAAAAAATGATATAATATTTTTAGTAAGATTTCAACCCTCCAATCATTCAGTTCACACGATATATACATAAGCTCTATCCAAAAATACTGTATGCTACACTTTAGATTAAGAAAATAAATGTGCACATTAAATTAAAAGTATATAATTCTTCAATTCAACAACGGATTTCTTACAGCAAGAAACAATTTACGAAGAAGATAGGATACCATTCAAATAGCCTAGTTTTCCTAAAGTTCTCCATAAAAACAAAACTAGCTGTAGGTGAACAGGTTCCTTAATCAAAGTAGATTGGATGAAACGGTTTGTAAAAACTGAGGTGACAAGGCAGTAGATGTTCCAGAAGTGGCGATAAACGGTCTTCTTTTGGTTCAGCTCTTCTGGCATTGTCAAGTTATTGACGTCTGGCTACAGGGACGCTGTTAGTCCCAGTGTTAGGCCACTGAGTCATTCGAAATTTATGCATTGGAATGGGTTTAACAGGGATATAATAAAGAAATTGAGTGAAGGTATCGTGCGACTTAATCCTTTTTCTCATGGAAATGTTAAAGAGAACCATGAAGGGATTTTTCGGACATAAGATCTTGTGAGCATTGTGTGTGTGACATTATTTTTGAGCTTTGTGTGTTCAGATGTTCGCGTTTGAAGTAGCTCAAGCAGTAATTTTGGCTGAGAGGGACGATATTAATTAATTTTGGTTCTTGCAATGAAATATCTTTCCGTAGATGATAATATCTTTCGAGAATATTTCAGCGTACTTGGTTTCTAAGTATCTAAGACTAAATTTGTGGGGGTATTGCTTGATCTGAACATTATGAGGGCGACTTACGTGAATTGGAATTAAGACTATGTGAGACTAGCATCGATTTCAACGTGGGTGAGTTCTATAACTCCAGTTAGGTCCAGATTGTGACTGGTCTGGAAGTTTTAAAAACTGGGAAGGTTCCTGAGTGCCGTTTCAGATAACTCTGAATGAGACGGAGATTTTTATATATACAATGACAGCACAAATTTTCTGTTCCAATTTTCGAACATGATAAAATATGTGATATAAAAGTAAGTAGGTATGGGCATAGCTCGGAACAAGATAGAAGGCAACCGTATATACGTATTTCTGACTATTGGTCATCTTCAGTTTTAGTCAAGTTACAAAAGAAGCAAGTTAACTTGGGAAACCACAAATTGGTCGTATCTGTAGAGATTCTTTCCCAAGTTAACATGCTCCTTTTCTAACTTGGCTGCACCGTACTGAAGACGACCAATAGTCAGAAATACGTCATTTTATTTGTTATAATTACTCACATCGCTTAATTTTAACCCCTTCGTCTTATTGTGCATATTATCTTAGATTTTTAGAAGCTAAACAAAGATTTTACTACATATTATTCGGAAGAGAAAAAAGCCCACCACGATGGCAATTTTGCGTGACTCAAGTAAATTCTAACATGGGAATGGCTCTAGGCTCATTATTTGTAAAAAAGTATTTTGATATAAGCAGTAAAACGGATACTATCGATATGACCAGGAGGCTGCAGGATGCTTTTAAAATAACTTTGCAGGTAATTACCAATATTAATAAGTTTATTTTGTCCCTTATCTTCTATGTAACCTGTCTTCCTGTTTTTCTATGATTTGCCTTGTTAACGATCCATATTTCTTTTTTTTTTGTGAGGAGTCGGTAACAGATCAAGAGTTTCTTAAATATTGTAATGTTAGTAGTACTATGTTGACGTGCAAATGTACTTTTTATTCTTATTCAAGTAGTCAGCTATTTTTGAAGGATTAAAATTTGATACAACTAGCTGAAAGCACCAAGATCATTTGCATAGTATAGCATAGAGGACACACTCGGTTATATACTGTTAGTGAGAGCGTGAACTTATTTTCAAAGCAGTATTTTCACTCCAAATTAGGTACCTTCAAAAAACGATTTTTAAAAACATCAAAACTATTTAATTTATTTTTTATGAACAGGCATACAAATAATTACATTCTTGTATCGGACAATGATCCAATTCATCTTCAATTGTAATCAAATAAAAAATTATTTTTTAGGAAAATACCTGGTTGGATAATAACACAAAAGATTATGCAAAAATGAAACTAGACTATATGGATTTAAAAATCGGTTTTCCAGATTTTATTCTAAATAAGACTCAGTTAGATCTTCGATACCATGACGTGGAAGTTCACGAAGACTATTTTTTCGAAAACGTTTTGACTTTTCTGAGACATCTCACGAAGGTTGAACAAAGAAGAATGGGGACACCAGTTAATAGAACTCTTTGGAGTACACCTCCTGCTATTGTTAATGCATATTACAGTAGAAATAAGAATCAGATCATGTTTCCCGCAGGTAAGTATATATATATATATATATATATATATATATATATATATATATATATATATATATATATATATATATCGATGTAGGTCCAATCTAAAAATAAATTTATCATCAACTTCTTCATTGGTGGCCTTAGACGGCTCTCATCTGCTAATATCTACTCAAATCACTGCCTATATGACTTTGTAGTGAACTGGTGGATTTATGTTCCCTAAATTATCATAGTTAGTGCAAAAAACAGTTGCAAATAAGTTGAAATTAGTTGTTTCTAGCAAACACAATAGTGTACATTGAACACAGCTTTATCACTGTCAAATTTTCATGTAAAATTGTGAATTTACTACATTTTTATATATTTGACTTCTCTGCTATCCTACACAACTAATCCTATCCTAATCAACTTTAAAACAAATTAACATCTTATCGTTTAAAACAAATCCGTTGATTTTTTGAAAATTTTCCGGGACAGCTGTTGAATTTGTGAGATCAGCGACTTCAGCGTTATTTGTCTGAGTACTGACGGTATTTGAAGTCAAGACATCACTCACTTCTTAACTAATGTTTAAGATGAAGCAGATCCAAATAGCACTTATCAAGCAACTAATACTTTGTTCACTTTGTTCTAATAGTATTTTTTCCACCAGCAAGCAATGCATACCCGAATAACACTTATCAAGCATTAAATTCACTGTAATAGTATTTTTTTCCATCAACAAGCAATGTTTTATCATCGCATGCAAGTAATTATTTTCTAATGTTAAACTGTAGAAGTAACCAGTGTAACTTGACAGATGTCATTTGACATTAACAAATTTTGACAGGTGACATTTGAAGGATGTCTTCAGTCGTCTTTGAAGGTGCTTTCCAAATCAAGTGTTTTTTGTTGTTTGTGGCGCCTTCTACAGATCATACCGGGACTACTGTTAACATAATTTATATCATAATTTAATGTATCTGAAACTTTCTTATAAATTTTGGTGAGGTTATTATAGAGTAAATTACGAACATTTTTAGGTATGCTACAACCACCGTTTTACAATAGACACTTTCCTAAAGCTCTCAACTTTGGTGGAATCGGAGTAGTCATTGGTCACGAAATAACACACGGCTTTGATGATAAGGGCAGACTGTTTGACCACGAAGGCAATCTACACATGTGGTGGCGAGAAGTTTCTATAGAAAAGTTTTACGAACGATCGCAATGTATGATTGAACAATATGGACAATATGTTCTGCCGGAAATACATATTGCTCTAGATGGGTTTGTATAATTTATATCATAATATAAAATCTATGACCTTACAAATGAATTCGACAAAGTTCACTAGAATACATTCCAGAGATGTTTTTAAAAAAGGGGAAACCCCTATCTTCCTTTTCGTCTTCGAGTGGTGTCTTCATCAGTGTAGGTTGGCAACAGTTTCGGCAAACTATTTGCGGTTCTGTAGTGTTCTTAGGATTATAGGTAAAGCGACTTCTCTTCAGCCAGAAACACTGCCTACAGCCAGTCATGTTGAAGACATTGCATTTATGCTGGCAATATTTAATATAGTGAAGAAAATTGTCAGTGACCACCATCTAATGTTTCGTGGTACATCAATCCTATACTTGGTATTGTTATACTCAACAACCATTTTAGATTTTCTGCTATTGACATAAATTTTATCATCTAAATGCATTGTGGATACTACTATTATATATTTTTTGGAAGAATATCTTTCTTATCGCGGACTACGGACAACATAAAACCGACTGTAATGACTGTAACGACAAATCGTGCGAGCATACACTACGTGGAGTAGTAAACGCAGTCCCATGCGTGTTTAATTATAAAATAAAATAGTCATTTAAGAAAATGGGATTTAGGAAATGCTGTGTTATAAATTGTAAAAATACAACAAAAAAATGTCAATTTAAGTTTTATTCGTTTCCAACTTCGAAGCACAAATTACTACAAAGAGAAAAGTGGATTTATATCATAAAAAAGCATAAGTAACATAACCTAAATTATGCATTATTCTTGCACCCGATTCAGTAAAAAGTCAGTTTGAAATAAATAATAAATAAGAATTCACTTTTAAGTGTAAATTTTAGTTTCATAACACTCACTTAGAATTTATTTTAACCCAAAAATAAAGTTTAATGTTTAAATTTTATTTTTTTGAAGTTTACAAAAATGCATCAAGTTTTTCTGAAGATGCATTAAGATATATTCGCTGTCCAAAAGTTTACAGAGAAAGAATTAATTGTTCAAACCAATATGATGATATCGTGGGCTTAACCTGCTAATTTATGCATTTATGCATTAGCATTATTGATGGTAATTTATTTTTAATTCTTCCACATAATTCTTCCCTTCTTTTTTGACATTTGCCACTACTAAAGCTTTTCCCTTTGACTCAGTGCTTGGTTGAAAAGTTATTTGGTGATTTACTTTCTCAAATCCAGTTTTTATTATTGCATCCATATTAACAGTAATGCTGTAATATAATAATATACTTATTTGTATTTACACTACATACAACGTTTACCTTTTAATAACATACCGACATAACCTCAATCTTACTTTTTCTTATTCTTTTTTGGGGCTACGTCCTTGAGTTATCCGGTAACCTCGATCTAACATGAAAGCGCAGTAAATTTTGCTGATTTACGACACCAGGTGTCGCTGTTCCGAACTTGCACGGTTCCAAGAGTGCCACATCCCGTTTTTTATGGGACAAATGAAATCAACGTGTAGTTTTTACTGAAGGCAAATAAATAACCTCTTTCTCGTACTCCTAGAGTACTGACCAATCCTGGTGCTGGTTAATCTTCTTTAGAGTTTAGTTAACAAAATACAAAAACATTACTTACCTAATTACTCGCTTGGGGTACTTTTGTATCCCACTGCAAATATTTACTCTGCGTTTCGCCCGAAAAAAATATAGTACTGGCCTTCTTTAGTGTTTATAACGAATTATTAACAACGAATAGTTGGAATGATGCAATCATGTGCAGATCTGACGCATGGGCAGTTTTACAATATGCTTGAGATACAAACATATCCCACGTGAGTAATGTAGGATAAAGGGCGTGTTGGATATTTGATAAAAATGATTATTTTTAGGTATGTAACACAAGGAGAAAATATCGCAGACAACGGTGGATTAAAACAGGCTTTTCGTGCTTACGAAACTTGGTTAACGGAGCATCCCGAAGTAGACGAAACCTTAGTCAATCTAAACCTAACCAGTAGACAATTATTCTTTCTTAACTTTGCCCAAGTTTGGTGTGGCCAACAGAGAATAGAAGCTGCAAAGAGTCGAATAAAAACATCAGTTCACGCTCCGGGAGTTTTTAGAGTTATTGGAGCTCTGAGTAATTCAGAAGAGTTTTCCAGAGTGTATATGTGTCCCAAGAATAGTCCTATGAATCCTGAGTTTAAATGTATTATATGGTAGTTATTAATTATTGTATTAAAATTAAAAAAAAATGTAGTTGCTTACCTGGGACTTCTACTATCTAAACTAATCCTTCGAAGCCTGTCTGCTTCCGTTTCCCGCTCCCTACTATCAAAAGTATGCCTCTTCTCTCTTAAAACATCCATATCCCGTCTTTTATTTCTAATAAAATCTAAATCCTTTAATTCCTCATCCAAGCTCTCCTTCTTATCTATCCTGCCATATGTTTTTTCACGATTCTCCAAAGAATTGTACGGCTTGTCCCGACTGTCTAATAAACTACTAGTTTTCTCTCGACTATCTTGTACATTTTTGGCGTAAGAATCAGTCTGTTTTAAAGGTCTAGTTTTGTTTATAATTAAGCTAGAAGGAGGAACCGCCTTTTGAGAATTTTGTTCGAAAATCGCAGCCCTAGATTTTAAACTATCTTTTATTGCTTTAGGTTTCTCGATAGGCGGAGTAACCGGTTCGTTTAAATTTTCCTTTTGTTTATTAGTTTCTTCCAGCCTTAGAGACAACTTAGAAGTTTCGTCTAGCCGTAAAACCGGCTTAATATTTTCTACATCTTGCTTAGAAGTATCTTCTAATTTTGTAGTTGGTTCCTGAGTATCACTGTCTTCGCTACGCGAACTACGCCTACGACTACGAGGAAGTCGATCCGCTTCTGGAACTTTTGTAACTTCGGGAGGGTCCTCCCTGGGTTTGTATATTCGCAGACGAGTGAGAAGGACTTCCTTGTCTTCTTTGAATGATTCTGACCTGTAAATATTAAATATATTACAATTAAACTTTGTAAGATGCAGACGAGAGATATTGTAAAAGGTCTAACCAATGAAATAACAAAATTGTATGCAATTTTTGTACTTAATATAATGCAGCAAAGGAGGAATGTACGGTAATGATAAAGAAATTCATTAGTAGTTAATAAGATACAGGATATATGTCAGAAGTTTAAGCTATAGGTGTGGATGTAGCAGTTAAAAACTCCACTATATATATTCCCAACGTATCTTAAGGCCATGTTCCTCCAAGAAATGTTTAACAAATCTTAATGGGTTTTTCTCGAAACCAAGTTTTTTCAACTAAGTGTCACTCGTAGTTCGAAACTATTGGACTTATCAAGATTCACCAAACGACATTTTACTCTTTAGATGTCTCTCTATGGTTGGCATTACAACCAAAAATATTCATTATCTAAAAAAGTTATAAACAATTAAAAGTGCAAAAAATTAAGGTCGGAAAAATTCAAAAACTGCGCCATTTTGTTTTTTTTTTTGTGAAAATGTTTCATTGTAGTAGACCAGGGGTGCTCAAACGGTCGATCGCGATCGACTGGTCGATCGAGAGTGCTTTTTGGGTAGATCTCGAGAAGAAAAAAATTTTAATAAGTAGGTAGGTAACTAAACTACTGTCAGCAGAGTTAAACGTTTTTATTAATACTGAACTATACAAATACATACAATGCTTGACTAAGCATCATTGCAATTCAAAGAAGTGGGGACAACAAAATACGGTCCACACAGCATATTTTATATTCACATATATTAACTAATTATTTTATTAATTCAATATTTATTATAATTATTAATCAAATTTGGGATGATATTCTATCAGCTACAAAAATGTATTACGTAATAAAAGAACACTGCTTGCAGCAAAAGGTGGCTTTATCAAAGGAACGCGCGGCACATGTCAAAGAAAAGCCGTGTTGTTTCTAGACGAGAGACAGTACAGTCTAGTTTCGGGCGGCGCGTTTGACTATACATCAACAAGTTTTGTGTTCAAAAGTTTTAAACATGGAGGAAATTATGGGCATTGCAACAAAAATTGTGAATTCCATCCGTGCTCATAGCTTGCAACGGCGACCCTTTCAGTTGCAGTTGGAAGATAGGGAGTCAGCTGAACACACTGATTTAGTTATTCACACGGACGTCAGGTGGTTGAGTCGCGGAAAATTCCTAGAAAGGTTTCAAGTTATTGCCCGAAATAACAGCTTTTCTAGACGAAAGAGGTGATGACACTCAGACTTTGAAAAACGAAAAATGGCTAAATGATTTGGCATTTTTGACTGACATCACAATGCACTTAACACCGTTAACTTGGAGCTTCAAGGTAAAGGAAAAACTATTAGTGAGATGATTAGCGCAGTAAACGCATTCAAAAGTAAATTGCAACTTATGATAGATCAACTGAAAAGAAAGGATCTGAAACATTTTCCGTCTTTGAAAGCAAGGATTCCTCAGTTGAATTATGATACGTATGAGGCTGAATTATCAAATATTTTGGGACAATTCGAAATGCGTTTTTATGATTGCAGTAAATTGGAAAATATAGCATCATTTATGAGTTATCCTTTTTCATGTAAAAACATTGAGGAATTAGCTACTGAAATAGCAAGTCAGTTTAATATGAACTCATGTTCTCTTGAAAATGAGTTGGTGCAGATTATATCAGATATACATCTCAAAGCTACAGTATCTGATACAAATTTCTGGCGTTTTATATCTGAAGATAAATATCCGAATGTAAGGCAAATCGCCCTTCAACTGACGGCATTTTTTGGGTCAACTTACTTGTGCTAGTCTGCATTTTCTGAAATGAAGATAATTAAGTCAAAATATCGCAATCGACTAACTGACGATCATATGACATCATGCTTGCGATTAGCACTCAGTGGTTACGTATCATCTTATGAAAAGTATGCTGAGGACATGCAGTGCCACGCTTCAACATCCAAAGCCACTCCTTAGTTAAGTTTAACACCAAATGTAACTCTTTTGTTTTGTAACAACAAATAAACTCGCAATTTTGAATAACTATGAGTTTTTTCATTGATATTGTAGAGAAGAACCTAACTAAACCTAACCCAAACCTTGACTAAAATAATGTACCTATATTGTGCAGAAAGCTAATATCTATATATGCTACGGTACGCCCTACCTAGGTAGGTAGGGTGTATCGTGTATGTACGACAACCCTGCATCACACACACTTGCAGTCTCTCAGAGTCGATCGTAAGTAGTCTAAAAATATTGAGGTAGATCGCCAGCAGTTCAAGTTTGAGCACCCCTGTAGTAGAAAATAGCCAATTCGATACAGAATATGAAACCACATTCTTTTTTGCTTTCGCAGCCATTTTCATGGTATGGAAAATTAACTACATCGTTATTTAGAGCTCCTGTCAAAAAAGTCACGATAGCGAATATGGTAGCCAACATGACATCCAACGATCGATAACGGTCATGGAACTAGAAGAAGAAGAAGCCATTTACAGAGCCGCCATTTTGAAAAAAGGAAAAATTATTTTTCAAGTAGTTTAATGTGTGTACTTTTACCTGTAAAAAGTTTGATTTTCAAATATCTTTTGTACTATAAAAAAACACGTTTCTAACAGCAATCAGACAACTGAACTAAGAGACTCTGTCAACAAGCAAACCTATCTATTGGCCGACTGACCCAAACAAGATTTTCTTCTTGTCTTTCCTTTTTATATTTGGCCTAAGGATTGTTTGCCACAAATACTGCCGATGATGATTCTTTTTTTGTTAGTGTTAATGTGATTCATTAGCTCTATCATTGTATTAACATTCCAAGGAGCGAATATGACATTTTATTTTTTGGAAAATATTAAAACACATCCTTTTCAAAACTACAAACTGGATGTATAAGAACTAAACCAAATAAATGCAATTTTCAGAAGAAACAACGAAAAAATTAAAAAACAAAATGAAAAAATGCAGAAAAAGCGGATGAAGCAGACTGCAAATTATGGAAAACCCGTACAAGAAAAATAATATACTTGTATAGGATCTGACAGTTAATACTAATTCCGTTGGAGACACTGGCAAACCTGTCATTACACATTGCATTCGGGGTTGAGAAACCGTGGTTTGGAAATTTTTATTCCGATGTTTTGTCTGCAAATGCGGCAGACATTATTGAAGGGATGCGGGAGCGGACAAAACATATTGCTCCCAGTACTAATTGTTCAATAAGTACTAAACAATTGTTAGATCTCTCTATAATTTTATATAATTCTTACCTGAATCTATCTTGCAGAATTTTCCTCCTTTCTTCTTTGTACCTTTCGATGCGCTCCCTCTTTTTCTGCTGCTCCTCTTCACTTAAATTGCTATTGATATTCTCCGAGCTATGGGCCAGATGCAAAGAGTTCACCTTACCGTCATCCAGCGGTAGGGATTTGGGTTGGTTAAGCGTTTTAGGTAAAGAATTGGTCTTGTAGCCCAGAGAGTTGGTTTTGTAGCCAAGATGTTCGTCGAACGAAGTCCTTCTATCTCCTATAGAATTCATCCCGAATTCTTTTTCGAACTCGTCTTCGTCCAGGGAACGTGTTTTTAGTTGGTGCTTCAGATTTCTGGCGCGCAAACAAGGTGGAAGGCTGTCTTTTTCGTAGAACTTCATTAACCTGGAAATAATTTACAAGATTTATATAAATAATAATAACAACATACAAAACAAATAATAATAACATACGCTTCGTTTTGTTATTCTCCCTTAACTACTTAATATTGAAAAGAACCTGCTCCTAGATAATGTGATATTAACAACTCTGCCAAAGAAGTACTATCCAATATGGCGGAACTGAGCCTATCTACTGTATGTCATATTCCCTCTCTTGCATATCATTGATATGTCTACATTCAACAACGAAGGCTCGTGTCTTGTATATCTCAACTCTTCCTAAACTATCCATCACTACCACACGTTCTGTGTCCAACATCCAACCATGAAGGTTATAATTTAAGTATATTGCGTAGATCATTGAGCATTTATTGGGCACATTCTTTAAGATATTACACGATAGCGTGAATCTCTAATTTTTCTCCCATCGAATTTTGAATAGAATTTTAAACGTTTTTAAGTTAGAATGGCTATGATGATTGCCACTTCCGTAAAAGAGATAGCATTTAAAGAAGAATGGCATATTGAGTATCTGACATGATGATTATCTGACAATATGATAGTATCGGCAGAAAAAACCAAATGTATGACAACATCTAAATGTCCACTACGATGTAAAATCGAAATTGATGGGAAAATAATAAAGCAGGAAACAAGGTTTAGATATCTGGGAATAAATATAACTAGTTACGAAGATGTTGAAGAAGAACTACCACAACAAAGCTTAAAATCAAGTAAAGCAGCGGATCTCTTAATGACACAATTTGGAAGAACAAACACCTAAGACAAGACATAAAAACAAGAATCTATAAAGCAGTTTAGACCTATATTAACAAACACGGCGGAGACAAGACCTGGCACATCTAAAACGAGACGACTATTAGAAACAACATTGATGAAAATACTCCGACGAATATCAGGGAAAAGCGATACAGAGAGAAGCGAAAATATAATAAGAGCATGCAATATAGAAGACATAAATGGATGGGTGACAAAACGGAAACAGTAGTGGAACGAACACATTAGTAGAATGGCACAGGATAGGACAAGTCACCAAATGGACGAAGAAGTATTGGCAGACCAAGAAAAAGATGCTGCGATAATTTAAACAATTTAGGAGGCTAATATTGAAGAAAAAAACAGGCTTTAAAGCCTACATATAAAAGGGAAGAAGAAGAAGAAGTATCTGACATAGATCTTGTAATTACAAACGATATTGGATGTTTATATTTGTAAATGTTCTACCTTTCGACACAAAATTTGATACACCGTGTATTTATGTCTCAAAACACCTAAATAATAATTTCAAGACTATATCCTCTTCATGCGGAGTTATTTTGGTGACCTTTTATCAAAAATTCACAGGATCCTTTCTTGGACCAAGACAAATTTATGTATCAACTTTCAAGACCTTAAAGTCTTACCGTATAGATAGACAGATAAAAATAATTTAACAACAAAAACAATTTATACATACCTATGACAGTTGGAGATATTTGTACTATCATCAGATTCTTCTAAAGGTAATACTGGGTTTTCACTAGGCACAGTACTATCTACAGCTACCTCGTCTTTCTTATCTTCTACAACTGTACAGTTTACGTTTTCTTCAGGTTCCTCCTCTTCTTTATCAGTCTTAACCTCTACATTTTCGTACACAATTTCACCTTTCATACTTTCACCCTCGATATTTTCATAGACATGTACATTTTCTGATTCTAAAGAGTCGTAACTTTCATCCACACATTCATTTTTCACAATAGGTTCCTTAACCTTTGATTCTTCATCTTTTCCTTCGTCATTATTTAATTCTATTTTAGAATCTTTTACTATCACCGTTTCGTAATCATCATTAGACCCGTTTTCTAACTCTAGAAGAGCATTGACTTCGTGTATAGATCGTCTAAAGTATTTGACTTGTTGATATATGGAGCTATCGTCCATCAGTTCAGTTTCATCCGATTTTCTTTTATCGTTGTTACTCAGCCTACTAGGACTTAACTCGACATTGTCATCGGTGGGACTGAAATCAATTAAATTTGTATCAACCGGACATCCCTCCGCTTCTACTGGCAAATTATCTAAATTTTCTGTGCTAATTCCTTCACTAGTGTTTTTGGTCTCCGTAGGACTGACTGGAGTTAAGAGTTCGTTTGACGAACAATCGTAAACTTGGGTAGGGCTGACATTTGGACTAGGACTGTTTTTTGAAGGACTTGCGGGGAAGCTAAGGGATGTTTGACTTGTACTAAGGTTATCTAAAGAACTTTCTATTACCTCGCTGAGACTTAAGTCACTTTGACTGAGACGTTCCGTGTTTTCAATGTACTGATACGGTGCCGAGCTAACACTAGCTGTATATTGTACATTGGAAGTACTAGACTGATTCGAGCTGAGGGTTTTCTGATCATTAAAGCTGCCAACTGATATTTGTTCACTGGTATTACAAATAGCACTAGAACTCAAATTATTCCTAACAGTAGTAGACTCATTACCAGGGGTCAGATCTTCCAAAGCACTTAAACTTTTAGGTCTATCGGAAATGTAATCGCCGTTTACAGTTAAACTAGCCTCTTGTACAGGCAATGAAGCTGTAGATGTAGGAATATCAACTTTTTCGGGGTTTATAATAACATTTTCGTATATATTAGAAACTGGGGCTTTCAATGGTGATGCAGGAGTACTACGGGGTGGTGATTTATATGTGATACTTATAGTAGTTCTAATGTTTTCGTAATTGTGAGGTTTTGATGTAGGAGATTTGACTTCGGTCTTTTGAAAAGTGCTTTCTGTTGGAGAGCTGTCATAAGTGGGTGATATTCCAGGAGTTGTATTAGCACTACTGTCTCCTAGTTGTTTATATCCAGGAGAGCAAGGTGTAGGACTAGTTAACAAACTGTATGGGCCTAAACCTGGTTGGTTAAGGTCTAGATCTGTGAAGGAATTTGTTAAGACATTTTTGACTGGAGATTCTAGATCTAATGATTGTCGTTTATCATTGTTTTCTAAATTATCAGAATTTCTAGGTGACTTGTTCTTCGGTTGGTACGAATCGAACAGTTTGTTCGTTTGAACTACTGGACTTTCCGGAAACGTATGTATCACAGCCGTAGTTGACACTACATTATCAGGGGTACTACAGTCGATGTATTGTATATCCGAGAGTTGATCTTCAAGACGGGTACGTTTCCGAGATTGAGATTCCGGTGATAGAACCACACGAGCTTGCTTCTTTGGAGAGGGGTTCACAGAGTTTGTGGTACTGTTGTATTCTTCTGGGCGAGCCCTGGTCAGAACACGACGCTGAGACTAAAAATAAAATAAAACATAAAGCATTAAATAAACTTATTACATTAAAGCACACATTCACAGAGGACGAGATATTCCAAAACGTGGACAGAAGTCGCAATAATTTGGTGATTTAAACACGTTCACTGCCTTGCTACAAAACACGTCTACTGAAGTCACGTGACATCCGACAAGTCTTATTTCACTCTTCCTTTTTGCGTCAGAAAGAACATAAATTAAAATTATCCAGGTATATGCCCCCACGACAGCTTATGATGACGAAGATATCGAACTATTTAATGAAGATATATCAAAGGCTATGGAAGAACATAAAAATCGTCTTACACTAGTAATTGGAGATTTCAATGCCAAATTGGGTAGAAAACTAAACAAAAAAGAAACTAAAATAGATTTTCGGTATGGTCAAAGAAATGATAGAGATGCTACTTTGATGAACTACCTAGAAGAAAAGCATCTATATGCAATGAACTCCTTTTACAAAAAGAAGTCCCAACGAAATGGACATGGATCAGCCCTAATGGATCCACACAAAATGAGATCGACTATATACTGTCCACGGAACGATATATCATTAAAGATGTAACAGTTCTTAACAGATTTGCAACAGGTAGCGATCACAGGATGGTCAGAGCAAAAATTAGTATTGACGGTAACTATGAAATGAAAAGAAAAATAATTAGAAAATGGGATCTAGTAGATAGAAACAAACTAGGACAATATAAAGAGATATACAAAGACCTATTAAAAGAACAACTTAACCAAAAATTAGACAGTGATAATAAAGATATAGACGAAATAGACAACACACTTACAGCAACGATGATTACATCAGGAAAAAAATAGCAAAAAAGGATCTAAAAAAGAACAACTATATATCAACAGAAACAAAGAAGCTTATGGACACAATATCACCGAAAGCAGGGTGACACAATATCACCGAAACTTTTCAATCAGGCTCTGGAAGATATTTTGAAAATATTAGAATGGGAAGAAAAAGCTATAAAAATTTGTGGACAACGCTTGAACCATCTAAGGTACGCTGATGACATCGTATTGATAACCGATAAAAAAGAAGAATTCTTTGAAATGATGAAAGAACTGGACGTAGGAGCTGGAAAGGTAGGCCTTAATATGAATTACAGCAAGACCAAAATCATAACAAATACATATGAAGACATCACAATGAGGATCGGACATATATATATATATATATATATATATATATATATATATATATATATATATATATATATATATATATATATCTCTGGGTCAAAGTATAAAACTTAACAAAGAAAACCAGACAGCAGAGATAAAAAGACGAGTTAGACTGGCATGGGCGGCATTTGACAAACTAAGCTACATTCTTAAAAACAAAAGATATCCACAGCACCTTAAGAGCAAAGTATACAATCAATGCGTACCCCTGTTCTCACTTATGGTTCCCAAACGTAGACATTTACAAAAGCAAACATAAACGAAATCATAAAAACCCAAAGAGCAATGGAAAGACAAATGTTGCACATAAAACTAATAGATAAAAAGAGACACGAGTGGATAAGAGAGGGAACAAAAGCGAGGGATGTTAAACGAGAAGTTGCAAAATTAAAATGGAGATTTGCCGGACACAATATAAGACAAAAAGAAGACCGATGGAACAAAATAAGTTGGAGACCGTGGGAATATAAATGAAGCAGAGGAAGGCCTCAAATGAGATGGGCAGATGATATCAAGAAGCACGTGGGCTCTAAGTGGATGACTGTAGCGACAGACAGAGCAGAATGGAAAAGAATTGGGGAAGCCTATGTCCAAAGATGGACCGAAGAAGGCTAATTAGATAGATAGATTTTGCGCCTGTTAAGCTGTATTCTTAATTCTTTCTTCAGGCTAATTTTTTTAACTTTTTCATCACTAAGAATCAAAACTGTTAGTTTCATTAGTCATTTGTGTAACTTTTGTTCACGTATTTGGTTGTTTCGCCAATTGTGCAGTATCTTATAAACTAAAATTTTATACAAACCTCTCTATGAACTCTGGGAGAACTAACCAAGCTCTCGTCTTCGGAAAAGATCCTCATTTCTGACTCCTCCAATTCGAAGTTGAGTTGGATTTCGCTCAGATCCAATAGCGAACCCTCGGAATTATTCTGAGAATTCTGCAGAGTATCAAAATAGGAATCGTGTGAGACTGACCTAAAAAGTTAAATGTTTATGTATACACCTACATTTTTTGTTATTCTATTCTTACTAAAAGGGTTTTTACGATCGTACAATATTTAATTGCTTTTAAATTTACAAACCAAAAAGCCATAAAAAAAGATGGTAAAAAGTTCCCTTTGATTAAAATCCCTATATAATCTGGTTCTTCGCGTTTGTTACAAAGTGGACAGACTTAAAATTTTGCATGACTCAAAATTGGCCTGAATCTTGACCAGTAAAATCTGCAGGAGAACCTATAGTCCCTACAACTGCTTCATATGCTTTAACATCCAGGACAGCTTCATCAAAGAAGTGTCTATAAACCAATCCCAAAAAACCAACACAAATATATAGTGATAGTAGTAAACTTAATGCGAAGTAGAAAACATTCATCAAAAATCATTCTCGCCAATTACGAAAAACTATGCAGTAAAAAACTCATTTAATGAAAAAAATGATAACGTGTGGAACAGCACTGATGGAAATAATCACGAAAGTAAGACAAACAAAGTGAATAGGCAGAATAGATATGACATACAGCAGTAAGATGGCATGGAATTTCATCAAGAAGCTAAGTTGTAACCTTACTGAGACCAGGCAAGTCCATTAAGTAACCCCAGATCAAGAAGCTGACCAGCTCCTATTAAACGGAACGTCCTGCAAAATCAGATACAAAAAATAATAAGAAGCTGAAAATTTAAAAGAAATTGACTCGAGCCAACTTACACAATTAAATAATTAAACCACGCCGCCCACTTCACTCAACGAGGAATGATAAGGCGACAGGCGTGGATGATGAAAACATGAGCCCAGTCGCCAAGAAGTAGAGCGAGTCGTAAGACTTGCACAGTTGCAGAGTTATGAAACGTTAAAGGAAAACTAAAGACTTAAACCAACCTCTTTCTCCTATACCATCTTTTTAAAATATCAGACTCATCCTAAAGAAAAAACTGGGTCCAGATCAGGTAAATCATGCATTAGCCAAATTCTCAACCTCACATGAATATCCTTATTTTGCTGGAAGCTATTCGGAATAATCCAAGAACATGTAGAAGACGGATATATAAATAAACTGATAATATACAGCTGCTCGACCTGAGCTTCTCCTACTAAGATACATAGGGCTATTGATAACTCTAGGATGCGCTCAAAGATACCTAGTAAAAATTCTCGATTCTTTGAGGCAAAACGAGGCGATTCTATGCCATGCTAAAGGCAAAGAACTGCTGAAGAACCGATGAAGAAGATAAAATAATGGCATGGCTCGGGGTAGCGTCATCGCTATCATCCTCTTTAATTTTTAAGTTGGTTTAAAGGATGAACCTCATTTTTGATTGGTAGGGTTTGTCTCATCAATACAATGCAGCTGTTTACAAGGTGGCCATTACACCAACTATTGGAATACAAATTGGTTGACCAAACACCGTATTCGCCAGATTAATCCGCGGGTGACTATTTATTTTTACTAACCTCAATATGTATCTCAATATCTAATGAGTATCTTTGCAGCTGAGCATGACTTAATCGTGCTAAACACATTTTACAAACTACCGCCTAGACGCCTGTATACGTGGAAATCACCTAAAGACAACGGAGAAGACGTTATTATTAGAAATCAAATAGACTATATGCTTGTTAACAAAAGATATCGAAATAGTTTCAACAGTGTTAAAACCTACCCAGGCGCTGATATTCAATCTGACCACAATCCTTTAGTGGGCGTGTATAGAACTAAGTTAAAGAAAATACGCGGAAAAACTGTAAAAAAACATGACATGAGAAAACTGAAATGTAGCGAAGTAAAAGAAATAGTCAGCAAAACATTAAATAGAAAATTTAAAGAAATCGATAATACAACGGAAAGCACAGAAGATAAGATAGAATCCCTTAAGAAAACAATAGACGACATTAAAGACAATCTGAATTTCTTAAACTTCTTGATGATGAATCTTTAAGAGAACTATGTAAAATCTTCAATAATATCTATGACACAGGCAATATCCCAAAAGATTGGCTACTTTCAGAATTTATTACCTTACCAAAGAAACAGGGAGCAAAAAAGTGCGGAGAATATAGGCTAATAAGTCTAATGAGCCATACATTAAAACTTTTTTTAAAATTATACATCGTAGAATATACAAGCTATGCGAAGAGAGAATACAAGACACACAGTTTGGATTCATGAAAGGCGTAGGTACAAGAGATGCACTGTTTAGTCTACAAGTATTATTTCAAAGATGCAGAGATATGACTTGCGATATTTACACCTGCTTTGTGGACTACCAAAAAGCATTTGATACAGTTCAACACCAAAAAATGATGGATATTCTAACAAAAGCCCAAATGGATGATAAAGATCGGCGTATAATACAAAATTTATACTGGAACCAATCAGCCACAATAAGAACGAATTTTGGAGGTGAACCAACGGAAATGATCCAGATTCTACGAGGCGTTAGACAAGGTTGCATACTTTCACCTATATTATTTAATCTATATTCAGAGGAAATATTTAGTGAAGCCTTGGAAAAATGCGAACATGGAATACTTCTAAATGGAGAACGCCTAAACAACATCCGTTATGCAGACGACACCGTTATTTTTGCAGACAGTTTGAACAGTTTACAGCAACTAATAAACAAAGTAAATGAAGTAAGTGAAAGATTTGGACTTCAAGTAAATATAACAAAAACTAAATTTATGATCATCAGCAAAAATAAAGTTAGAGACGCTCAACTACTTATCAATAATACACCAGTGGACCGAGTAAAACAGTATAACTATCTTGGAACAACAGTAAATGAACAATGGGATCACTCACAGGAAATAAAATGTAGAATAGAGAAGGCTAGGAGTGCATTCAATAACATGGCCAAAGTCTTTAAAAGCCACAATCTTAATCTGGAGATAAAAGTAAGGCTCCTACGATGTTATATCTTCTCAATATTGTATTATGGAGTTGAATCCTGGACACTAACTGAAGCAATGGAGAAAAAACTTGAAGCCTTCGAGATGTGGCTATACAGGCGAATTCTAAGGATATCATGGACAGACAAGATAACCAACGAGACCGTATTACGAAGAGTGGGCAAAAAAAGAGAGGTGATGTATACCATTAAAAGGAGAAAGTTGGAATATCTCGGACATATAATGAGAAACAGCACTAAATACAGATTACTGAAGGTAATCCTACAGGGTAAAGTATTCGGAAAGCGAGGAATTGGGAGAAGGAGAATATCATGGTTGAAGAACCTGAGGAAATGGTTCTCCACAACAACAACGAATCTATTTAAAGCATCAGTTAATAAAATAATTATAGCCAGAATGATTGCCAATATTCGGAACGAATAGGCACTGAAAGAAGAAGAAGAACCTCAATAAAAAGTATTTTACCAAACGATGAGATCAGGAGTCAAAATTTCTGACAATTTGGAGTAGTTCAAACAAAATTACTCAAAGTTTTTACCAAGTATATTGGGCGAAAAGAAGACTATATTGAAAAATAAATGAAAATAATACTAAAAATGGTGGTTTTTTACTCTAGATTAATATCAAAACAAAACGCCTCCACCATAAAAATTTAACCATAAAAAAAGTCCACTGGCCTCCCACACACAAAGAGAAATAAGCTAAAAAAAGAAAATACTCCGAGAATTCAGTGGATATTCAATCAAATGAAATTAAATTGCCTGTAAATCTTGAAAGATAGGTACAGTCTGTCCCAAACCCTTTTTTCAGTGCGTCACTAATTTTGACGTCATATAGGATTTTAAGAATGTCGAGAATTATTGCATGACATTTTAGTTAAATCTGACAGTTGCAGGATCGTAATCGGCTAAACGTGAAAAGGTTATTTTTTTTAATGCATAGCAGTTTGTCATAATTCTATTCTATTCTGTTCTATTTTATACATTCCATGGAAAGTGCTTAATTAGCTAAGATTTGTTTATGGATTTATTATTATTTATTACAAACACTAGGGAATTGGAAGGTTTGTTTATTTAAAATAACGCTTCCTCCTAGAATCTCTTAAGAGTTGACTGCAAGGTAAAAAAATTTACTGACAATTGCAAGGCATCAAAGTAAACATTCCTGTGATAAAATAATATCGATTTAAATCAGTCATATTTGGATAAGTAATTTTCTGATAAGTTTGTGTGGCAGCCAATAGTTTAATTTTGTGAAGAGTTGTCATTAAATAGTGAAAATAGTTTAAATAGTGAAGCAGTTGATTTTTGAGTTAATCTACCAGTTCCGATATCCAGATGAAATCGTGTTAATGGAGTTTAGTTAAAAAACAAGATACCGAATGTAAGTTTACCTTCTTTTTTATGAATAACAAAAATGAATATTATATTTCAAACAATCTATAATCCCATTCAGAATCTGATTCTTGAAAATCAATGATTACACTAGATGTGTGGCTGATATCAATTATATCCTACATTTCAAGAAAATGTCGTGGTTCTAAAAAGAACCGTTTTAATACATATAAATATCCATAAAGGTATTAGTTTAAGATATTTACTCAATATCATTCCGGAATTCACAATCTGATTCGCGAACGACAGAAACTGAAATAAAGATGTCTCAGCCTCTTTTTCTAATTGAAACTAATTTAATAATTTTAATATTAGTGTTTTTTCATTCTCGGTATATCTCGGAATATTTAAAATATTTTTATGACAATAAATACAAAATTTAATTTTCACTGTAGTTAAAATGTCTGAAAATACTAACCTGGAATGGCAATTATCATTTTATCAGTTGACATTGTGAAAGTACTGTCACTGTCATTATCAAGATCATCTGTGTCAAATTATATTTATATGCATAATTGATTGGATATATATTTAGCGTATTCTAAACTCCAACCAATTATACGTTCGTAAGTAGAATTCGCTTTAATATGCGAATACCCGTGAACGATACCTAATTTTCTAAGTTCTATGTATAATAATCAGCGACTCACGTTTTTTTCTGTCACTTCTAGC